AGCACTGGGGCCTGGCCATCCTGAGGATTTCATGAGCTTTTCCAGTGTATAAACCTTCCCTAGAGTTTTCCTTGTCAGGTTGGTCACAGAACCTACCACCTGGACTTTTGGCTGATCTCAGTGTCCATGTCAGGACACTGACTGGGCTGAGCCTGGCAGTAGTTTCTTAGGGAAACAATTTCAACCAGGTTTCCACAGAAGGCTCATGTTAATTCTCTGAACAAAGACCCAAGTTTGGGTCAGGATGAAAAGCAGAGCATTCAGAAGAGCCAGAGAGAGGAGCACAGCCTTCTATGGCAGCACCCAGCAACCCCAGTGGGAATGTGCTAGATAGGCAGCGAACAGATCAGTTTGCTCAAGTGATCCTAAAAAATAGCTTTGAAATGTTGATAGATTTGGAGAGATGATAGAAATAGCTTCTTCAGTTGTAGGTCTTCATGCTGAAGGTTGCGTTCTAACCATGATTTCTTCTGTCTGGGCAGACTGCCATATACATGCTCTGGAGAAAATTCTAACCAGAAACTATTGGCTGGCTCAGTGAAGCGTTGTGGACAGTTGGGGTTTCTCTGGACTCCCCTTTCCCTTTCCTTCTCTCTTCCTTTCCCTGGATTCCTTTGTCCTCCCTTCCCTTCATCTTCCCAATTCCCTTCCTCTCCCCATTTCCCTTCCCAGAGCCTTACGCATGCTAGGCCAGTCCTCTACCACTGAGATCCATGCTCAACCTCTGGCACTCAATTTTCTGATTTCATCAGGAAACTAATTCCTGTGTTAACTCCTTCTAAAACTGGGTTTCCAAAAGTCCTCCAAGGAAAAAAACCATTTTCCTTTAGATCAGTTTCTAAGAAATTAAACTCAACAAATCTATTATTTTTTTCTAAGACACTATTTAAGTGGCTGAAAGGTATTTATACTGGGCTTATTAATTCTGTAGCTTGTCATGCAAAGACAGTGGGATAGGAATTAGATGCACGCTAATTTTTCAGAAGAACAACTGGAAGAAGCTGGGAACAAACATCTTACAGTGTTAAGTTTACGAAACAACAAACTCCTTTCTAATAAAAAGTGATAACAACAACAACATGTCAGGGTGGAAATCTTGACAATCCAATTTGACAATTTGTAGTCACTGTTATTTTGATGGAATAGTTCACGGAGCAGATGCCTTACTAGGAATTTTATAAATTGCACTTGCTGAGCACTAACTTTGCTGTTTTGTTCTTCAATTATCCAACTGACTTCCTTTTTAAGAGCCATGTGCTCAGGAACTTTCTAACAACTATCAAGATGTTTTCTGTTAGGTGCAAGGCTCTGGTCAGAATTGGTGTTTAGGAGATGGGAGCTGGACACTGATGAAAAGCTATCAATAACAGGATGGGGTCAGCTCCCAAATGAAACCCCCAACAAACCCAGAAGCCAGCTCTGCCCAGGGAGACTGCATTTCCTGTGATTTGCCATGTCATCTACTAAACACCAGGACACACAGAGAAAACTAAATGCCAACCCACTGATTCTCCTTTGGGATGAGCTCAAAATGTCTTTAGCCTTCCAGGGTCAAAATGAGAACATCCGCCTTCCAGTGATTGCTACGTTTTGAAGTCTGAAGAGTTACCAGGAGACTGTGGAGTCTTTGGTAGATGGAGACTGTGGCAGCTCCTACGGTCACTAGCTCCTTCCTTCACTGCTTCCTGAGTTTTACTACGTCACAAGCTTCTGTCTCAATGAGCTACCATGCCAAGGGCACAAGAACAACACAGTAACTCAGTTATGAACGGAGACCTCCAAAACTGCAACCCCCCTTTCCTACTTAGAGTTGATTATCTCAGGTATGTTATTTATAGAAACAGAAAAATGATTTGCAGAGCTATCATATAGCTTTGGCATTTTGGAAGCTCTGTAATCTAATAAACAGATATGGTTGTAGGAAAGGAAGACATGTATGAGCAGAGACTATGTACTTTGAACAGTTTGATAATGCAGGCTTTTCAGGATGCTCCAAAGGCCTATTTACAGAAAAATAGTATCAGAAGGGAACCTTACTTCATTGTTGGTGGGAGTGTAAACTTGTTCAAACACTTTGGAAAGCAGTATGGAGGTTCCTCAAAAGACTCCACATAGAACTCCCCTATGACCCAGCAGTCCCACTTTTGGGCATTTACCCAAATGTTTACAAATAAGACCACACTAAAGCTATCAGCATAACTATGTTTATTGCAGCATTATTTACCATAGCTAAGATCTGGAACCAACCCAGATGCCCCTCACTAGATGAGTGGATCAAGAAAATGTGGTATATATACAAAATGGAATTCTATGCCTCCATCAGAAAGAATGACATATCCCCATTTGTTAGGAAATGGAAAGGCTTGGAAAAAATTATATTAAGTGAAGTAAGCCAAACCCAAAGAAACATAGGTCCCATGATTTCCCTTATTTGCAATATCTAGTATATGTATGAGTCAAGCAGAAAAGGTCAGATAAAGTGATGTCAGGAAAATGAACCCTAAGATATGTATTTAAATGTTTTTTTTCTTTCATGCATTTGTTTCTAACGCAATTATAAGATTATTTCTTTGTTGCTTTGTATGTCCCTCCCCCACAGTATAAGCCCTGTTTTCACTGTATTTGATGTCGGTATAATTTGTGGAGGGGAAGGGGAAAAACAAGTCGTTTAAATAAGGATACAGGTGGACCTGTTGCAACAATGAGAAGTACAAATTGTCATGTTGAAAACGAACTTTACAACTTTGGGGGGGGAGGATTAGGTGGTGGGGGGAGGGAGGATGGGAAGGGATGGGAAAGGGAAAAAGGAGGAGGCTACAATGCTTGATAAGAAATGTACTCACTATCTTGCCCATGTAATTGTAACCCCTCTGTACAGTATTTTCACAATAAAAAATATAAAAAAATAGTATTAATCTCCTATTAGAAAGACCCCTGTCGGGGGTTAGAGAGAACCAGGAGAGAAACTGTTGAGGCAGGTGGTTGAAACCCAGAATGTAGTTTGGCAACAATGATATATTTCTTGGGGTGACAGAGAAGTTGGCAGTACTTGGGTTTTAACTCCGAGCCTCACACTTCCTAGGCTGGCAGTCTACCACTTGAGCTATGCCTCCAGCTCTTCCAGTGATATTTCTGGATGTTAAATAAGAGCAGAGCTGTGGTGGCAGAACACCCTTATCAACAGAAAGTAATTGTCACCCTTGAGGTGAGGTTGGTAGTTGGGTATTCAAGTAGATTGGTACACAGAGTAGAAGCTCACAATTTTCCTGTTCAAAAGAATAAAAGATGGACTGAGAAACAGGTGAATAATATACAACAACAAATGAGGTATTATTTTTACAATCTTTTGGGGGTTGATTTCCAAGATTCTTTCCTCTGTAAACAAAAGGAATCTTTCCATTTTACTCTCAACAATGCTGACTTCTTTGACACATAGTTTAAAGTGCTTCATACTTTTATTTCTGAGAAAACTATATTTAAAAAGGAAACTATATTTTAAACATTTCATTCAAGGATCTGAAAAAGAGGTGATTCATTACCAAGATGTGTGGGCAGAAAACCTTTTCCCCATGCACAGTTAAGAAAATGTGGGAGGTATTCATTTGTCACAGGAAAAATCTCACCGAGAAATATACATTAGGCTGTAATTAACTCTGAGAATGGGCCTCTTTAAAAATTCTCCATTAAATTCATTCCTGGTCTGTAGCTACTAAACGCAGGTAGAGGGTCTAGGGTCAGTGTCAGTGAGTGATGGAACAGGAAAGTAGGCTGGCCTGACACTGGGTATCTGAACCATCCTGGCTCAAGCCGTCCCCAAATCAGTTGTGTTCCTGAGCCAGACCACGGTCCAGCCAGGTTTCTTGGCAAGGGCACAATTCTCAGGCAGATCCATGCTAAAAACTGGTTCATTCCTCAGCTACCGTGATTCAGTCTTTTCCCTAGTTCCAGAACTTCTCATTTCTCTGAATTTTTTGGAGGTTGGCCATCCTTCTCTAGAGTCCTGGTGACACTGTGTACTTCATTTCACCCATTTCCTCTGTGCTGGCAGCTGGCGTCTTCTGTAGGACCACTCTGTATTTCTTTCTGTACAGAGGTATTTCTTACCCTGATTCTTTTTGGGCATTTGTCAGACCTTCCCATTTGTAATCCAGTGAGGCAGCTTCTCTTCCAGACTAAGGATCAAAGCACAGCCTTCCTAAGATTTCCCTGAGGTCTTTGCTATTAGGCCAAACTCTGCTTTCATTTTCAGTCCCCAAGTCCTTTATCTCATTTTACCCCACACATAAAGCAGATCAAATCAGAGGGAAGCAGAGCAGCTATGTGTGTGCTCCAAGAGAGGAAGATGAGCCAGGTAATGTTCAATGTGGTAATGCATGTTGTTTCTTAAAGCTTTTTCTTTGGTGTTTGTGTGTATGTGTGTTTGTCTTGGGGCTTGAATTCAGGGCCTGGGTGCTGTCCCTTAGCTTGGGGCTTGAATTCAGGGCCTGGGTGCTGTCCCTTAGCTTTGTTGCTCAAGGCTAATGCTCTACCGTTTGAAGTATAGTAACTTCTGACTGTACTGACATAAGAATCGCATGATACTTGGGGTGGCTCCAAAGAACAATTCTCAAATCTCAGCCTCCTGAGTAGTTAGGATTATAGGTAAGAATCACCAGAACCCAGATGCTGACAGCATTTTTTTTTTTGACAGTCCTGGGAATTGAACTCAGGGACAGGAGACTGTCCCTGAACTTCTGCTCAAGGCTAGCACTTACCACTTGAGCTACAGTGCCACTTCCAGCTTTTTCTGTTTATGAGTAATTGAACCCAGGGCTTCATGCATGCTAGGCAAGCACTCTACCACTAAGCCACATTCCCAGCCCCTGACAGTATTTTTAATTGGTAATTAAGAAGAGCGATGGAAGAGCTGGGTAGGGGAGAAATGGATGAGACTGAAAAGGTATGAGATTGTATTCATAAACTGTTTTATTAAATAGCAATTCCTTTGTACTTAAGAGATAATAAAAATAAAAAAAAGAATACAAAAAAAGAATTTTGAAACCTGGATTAAAGGGAAACCATTTTCATGAATCACCTTACCTCAAGCTATCATACAAATTCTACAACTGAGTACTTTATGCTTAGAATTTCTACCTTAGTATGACCTAAAGAACAAGTACAAATCACATCTGACCTACTTAGACTATATTCTGCCTTGCAAACACCCCATGATGGAAGAAAGTGTGCCAGGCTTTGGACTTCTAGGCTCTCAGCCTTGACAAATCCTAGGTTACCCTGGAAATGAGGCAAAAACCTGCTCAAAAGCTTCAGCCGCAAAACAGAAAAGGGGCCAAAGAAATCTCAACCTCATTTATAAAAGAAATAGAATTATTTGATCTTATACAAGAAATACTAATTAATAACAACTCTGGAAGGGGTATTCATGATTGAATACTCTTTGTAAAAGGCAAGGTACTAATTAAAATAAGGAAATGTTCAAACTAATGAGGCTTACATCCAAATGATATTGATAAGCATGTATTTTGGAAAATGCAGTTCTTCCTTGGACTATACTTTGTGTAGTTCTGACTCTTCACTTTTATGACTCGACATTACAACAGGAGTAGGCACTCAGCCATTTTAAAGGTGCAATTACATGTTAGTATTACCACTGTATTTTAAAGTTTATATAACTTATCTGATTCTGCTTTTCCACACAATATTTGCCATCATTCTTTTTAAAGAGGTATGAGAAATAAATACTAAAAAGAGGATTTTAAAAGCAAAATATGACAACCAGCTGACAAAGCATGCCAAGCCTAATTTTACATATCAAAAACTAAAACAAAAGAAAAACTCTCAGAAAAAAAGGCTCATGTGGCATTTATATTTTATGTTTTCAGTTATTTAATAGCTTTAATAATTATCCAGAACACCCAAATTACCCATAAACACCACAGGAACAATTTAGCTTCAACAGATTACTGGCTGAGAAATAAAGCAAAAACGTTAATATTCAAAATAAGTAACCGAAGCTTATTTTAGAGGCAGTTAATGAACAAATCTCTCTTGTATACTAAGTAGGCTGGTCATGCTTGGCCCAGAATTCCTGAATAATGATGATTCACCACTGCAATTTTCCTTATTGTTTTGCAATGTTCCATTTATACTAACAACAGTTCTGAACCAATACTAATCTAGAAGCATTTTTGCAGGTAATTTAGAGTATATTCTTCAAGTAATATGTATGCATAATATAGTAATTAAGACATACTAGGGGAACTAAATGCTGAAGAAAAATCTTTCTGAAACATAATTGAGATTCTGCTTGAAATCAATTAGACCATAGAAATATTCAGTTAAGTACTTTCAAAAAAGTATTTCATACTGAAAAATACTTAGAACAAAGCCTGAATCTGAATTCTTGATTTATGTTCTAAATTTTTCACTCTTCAAATACTACATAAACATGAAAGGATTGTGTTTAATTCTTCCATATGCAAACCATGTCATCCATGTATTATATTTTCCATTCTACTTCTTTACCAAAAATCGTGTGATGTCTGATCCATGCTTTGATGCTAGAGATTGTCTTTTCATTTGGCTTCTTTCTTTGGCTTGTCTGGCAGTTCTCTGGAAGTTAACAAATGTGCACCGTAAACATTAGGAGTAAAGTACTGGCTAGCTCAAAGACTTTATTATATATTTAATTTGGGAAAAAATCAACATTATTACTATATTCATTGCATGGCCAATAGGGAGTACTCTGAGCCAAAAGGCAGAGTACCATGGCAGCTCTGAAAAGTGAGCTGAAATCCTACATTCACCAGGATTCAATTTGGAGGAGAAAATATAAAACTATAGGGCACGACTTGCTACTCATTAAGACAATGAATCCCTTATTTGGAGACTGTTGGAAACCCAATTTTCCTCATTTAGGCAGGTGTACAAGGAACTTCTATAGATAGATTTCTCAGAGTGCAGTTGGTACAAATTCTGCTCTGATCTTCCTGATCACTGGGCCCAGAAGCTATTCCCAAGTGAACAGATAAGGCAATATAGAAATGACACAGACTGGATCTGGGTTTGTTTTCTAATCTCACAAATAAAATTTTCATGGTAATCTGAAAAAAATACAGAAAGGACTAAATTTTCTTCAGCTATTTCTTAATTCTCTGATAGGTCTTGAATTTGATCATTCTTTTGCATAGCTAAGAAATCGGGTGGATTTTTCCCAAGTGAAGTCCACGTTCATGGGAAATGGCCCAGGTGCAAAGAGTAAAGACAAAAAAAAGAGAAAAAAGTAAAACTAAAAACAAAATAAAAAACATAAAAATTTTGCTTGCGATGATACTGTGAAATCTAAAATATCAAAAGAAGGCTAACAGGTCTCATGTATTACAAACATTGGCAAAGGATGTGAAATTTTCAAAAGTATAAACATAACTAATTAGACCTTTTTATAAACAACTGCTTTAGGCATAGTTAAATGGAGTACTCCATGCACTGTAGGGTTTGAGGAAACATAACTGAATAAATTCTATGAAAGATGACTGGTCATTAACTCCTACAATGTTAAAAAATACCCAAATATTTTGACTCAGTGATTTTTGCTATCTAAGAATCTATCTTAAAGAATGACTTTAAAATGTAGGAAACAATTTTGTTAATAGAAAATGTTCTGGGTGGCATTATGTTTCAGAGCTAAAATATCTGAATAGCTAAATATTAATCAGCAAGAAAATGGATAAGTAAACTAATTGAATATAATGCAGGCAATAAGTAATAAAAAGTTGGATACGAAGTTGAATACTGAATATACTTTTATTTTTAATTAATTAATTAATTAATTAATTAATTTTTTGTGGCACTGGGGTTTGAATTCAGAAGTCTTCACTTGCTAGACAGGTGCTCTTCTACTTAGCCATACCTCCAGCCCAAATATATGTTTCTTTCTAACATTATCTTAACAGGTAGGTCCTTCCATATTTTGATAACACTGTATTTTAAACATTCATACTGGTAGATAAAACCTATATAACTTTTCTCTTTCGTTTTAAGCAATAGAGAATTGCTGAAAAAAATGTGGCAAGGCCATTAAGTTTCATAGGTAAGCCAATAGTGTGATCTTTGCAAGTTAAGTGTGGTAGACTTAGAGATAATTCATGAATTTTTTTCAGATACTTTAAGATATCCTTAGTTGTATGAAAATGTATGGCTCTCAATACACAACAGTTCTAGTTTTAGGGTCTGTGTCTCTTGAAGATGGTAACATGTAGGATACCTTCGTGTTTTCTTGCTAGTGGAGACATGTTTTAGGCACTAGAATAAATTAGTAGGAGAGTAGCTTCTCTTTTCTCTGTGACTGAGAACTTACAAAGGCTTTGAGAGGGGAGACCAAAGGTCTAAGTTCCTCCATACTATATGCAGTTTTCTGTTGATCTGCTCAGAATGGAGTCAAAGCTACTGTCTGTGAGCATCACTGACCTCCTTGTGACAGACTGTGCAGAGAGTCTGTAGGTTGTCCAGGGAACACTGTCCTCCTCCTTCATACACTGGCTTCATGTGATCCACCTGCCAGAAATGTCCTTCTACTGGGTTTCTTATCATTTCATTCAGCTGCAAAAGACCAACATGATCAGCAAATTTCAACAAACGCTGGAGAAAGTGTTTGTTCCGCATTGTGAAATCAGGTTTCTACAACAAAATCACGGAAAAAATACATTAGGACAGGTTTTTCTTTAGCTTTGTGAGTAAAAAGCAAAAAAACAAAAATGATTCTCTAGTAATTTAAAGGCAATAAAATGTGTACGTGAAAATGACTTTTTTTCTCCCTTATCTCACTTATAACTTTTTAAAAAGTTACAAGCAAAGTATCAAGATTCTTCACAGTGTAGGAAAACTGATTGTTTCTGTACCTTTGAATTAGTTTATATATTCACTAAACTAAAAGTGAGAAAACAATAGTAACAGGATGAACATTAAAACTCAAGTTGAATGTCAGTGGCTCATAGCTGGGCACAGGTGGTTCTTCTCTGCAATCCTGGTTACTCAGGAGGCTAAGTTCTGAGGATCACCGTGTGAAGCCAGCCAGGGCAGGAAAGTCCAGGAGACTCTAATCTTCAATTAATTACCAAAATGCCAGAAGTGGAGCTGTGGTTAAAGTGGTAGAGCACTAGCCTTGAGCACAAACAACAACCTAGGCCCGGAGCTTAATCCCAAGGACCAGCACAAAACAAAACCAAGCAAACCAACAGTCTTCAATTGCTGACTTAAATGTATTTAACACTGTATTAGCGGCAATGTAATAGTAAAAACTAATACCCAGAAATTTTACATTATTTGCCTGAGAGCTTCCAAGTTACATGAACTAGAATGTAACCTTTTGGAATTAACACAGACATCCACTTAAAACAGCCACTATATGGACAGTCCATATATATATATACTTTGTATTTAGTCAATGATGACCTACATTAAAAATTGGATGTATTTTAGCATTTTACTGGTGGTAGTAAAACCAATGTGCACAATGGCGGTGTAGTTATATTACAAAGATGAGTAAGCCAGTTGTTTTTATTTTCTTGGTCTTAGGTAGAAATTATAATCACCTCCATGACTACTAGTTATGAGAATCCAAAGTCATTTCTTTTTTTTTTTTTTGTCGGTCGTGGGGCTTGAACTCTGGGCCTGGGTGCTGTCCTTCAGCTCTTCAGCTCAAGGCGAGCACTCTACCACTTGAGCTACAGCGCCACTTCCGGTTTTTTTCTGGTGGTTTATTGGAGATAGGAGTCT